GTTCTCTAAATTCAGTGCAATTAATCGAATTAACAAATGAGCAACGTAAAACACTCGACGAATTTATTGAGAAGAAATTATCAAATTTCGCCGCGTATACCGGTATTACTAACTTAACGACACACGTCATCGAATTAATTGACGAAACCCCGATTAAGTTAAAACCTTACCGACGTAGCGCCGAAGCGAATAAAATTATTAATGAACAAATTGATAAATATTTAGAAAAGAAATTTATAATAAAAAGTAATGGTCGTTACGCAAGTCCGGTCGTTTTGACATATCGCAAAGACGGTAGACCAAGAGTCTGTATAGATTACCGCAAATTAAATAAAAATACAAAGAAATCGGCATATCCGTTACCGCGAATGGATACAATTTTGGTCGCATTATCTGAGGCCAATGTCATTAGTACAATAGACCTCACTGATGCTTTCCATCACATTCCGATAGATCCAAAGTCGCGCGAGTACACCGCTTTTGTGGTACCCGGTCGTGGACAATTCGAATGGGTTCGAATGCCGTTCGGTCTTACAAACGCACCGGCCACCTTCCAAGCACTAACCGATCGTCTAAAAGAACGATTCGTAAAGTACATTCGCGATAACAATCTACCAGAAAGATTCACCGATCAGGTTCACGCGTACTTAGATGATTGGATAATTATCTCGCGTACATTTGAGGAGCACCTCCTATTATTGGACATAGTATTCAATATTCTACAGGAAGCAGGACTCTCGATTAATAAAGACAAGTCTTATTTTGCAAAGTCCTCTGTCGAGTACCTAGGATTTATCTTAGATAAAGACGGCCTCAAACCGAACCCTAAGCGAATCGAACCAATAGTTGATCGCCCGATTCCCAAAAATCGAAAAGAATTAAGACAATTCAACGGCTCAGTGAATTGGTACCATCGCCACTTACGCAACATCGCGCGAGTGCAAGGGCCGCTTAACAAATTAGCTAGCCCTAAGGTACCTTGGGACTGGACCGTAGAACATGAAAAATCGTTCAAAGATGTCAAAGAATCGTTAAAGAATGCCTTGACTCTTGTCGCGCCGCGACCCGGTTTACCATTCGTTTTGTACACAGATGCCAGTGATACAGGCATTGGTGCAATTTTGACGCAAAAAGATGGTGAACGCGAATATCTTATTACGTGTCTGAGCAGACCTTTAAGGGGTGCGGAATTAAATTATACCACCACCGAAAAGGAATGCTTAGCCGTAATTTTCGCGATTAAGAAACTTCGCTGCTATCTCGAAGCCACAGAGTTTACGGTTATAACCGATCACTCTAGTTTAATTTGGCTGCAAGGGATCAAAGATCCGCGAGGTAGACTTGCGCGATGGGCTCTCGAGCTTTCTGCAAATCAAGTCAAAATTGAACACCGTAAAGGTACAATGAACGAGGCCCCGGACACTCTCTCTCGCCTATACGAAAGTATCTCAGAAGACACGCCCCCTGCGCGGCTGAATGTCATTCGTGACCAATCGTGGTACGATGAGATGGTAGCACACGTGCGAAAAACCCCCACGCGCTACGAACGATATAGACTTGACGCGAGTGACACGTTATTCTATTACAAACCTAATCAAATTAAAGAAAGCATTGGCGACAATAATGCCTGGAAAAAAGTATTAAAAGAAGGTGAAATTATCCCTATAATAAAACAATTTCATGATACACCGCAATCGGCACACCAGGGAATCAATAAAACATATCACGCGATTCTTAACCTTTATTATTGGCCCGGTATGCGTGAAGACATTAAGCGTTATATCAGCGAGTGCGAGATATGTCTTAAATGCAAACCAAAGAATTCTCCACCGCAAGGCTTAATGTACCCTCGTAAAATTAAGGAACCATGGGAAATAGTATCGCTCGACATTATGGGTCCTCTTCCACGATCGAAATCGGGTAAACGTTATATCTTAGTTTGCGAAGACATGTATACTCGATACATAGATTGTTTCCCATTATCGGCAGCGGACGGACCAAAAATAGTAAGGTCATTAAACACCCTTATCAATAGATGGGGAGTCCCTAGAATTTTTCTAACCGACAATGGAACAGAGTTCATAAATCGCAATATTACGAATTTCATAAATAAAATCGGATCTGAACAGCGAACTACCCCAGTGTATCACCCACAATCTAATCCGGTAGAACGCGTAAATCGCAACTTGAAAACTATGATTGCTAGTCTTTTAGGCGAGGATCATCGCGAATGGGATTTCCTTCTAGAAGAAATACAATTCGCTTACAATAACACAACACACTCTTCCCTCGGCGTTACACCCGCGTATATCAATCATGCCCGTGAACTGAGACGCACCGGCAAACAATTGACTAATGTAGACGACGACGATATAACTTCAGTCGATAGCGCTAATGACTGGCTCGAACGCGTAAAACGTATAGATGCGCTTCGATCAAAAGTTGAGGCAGAAATGTACAAAGCCGCCAAGAGGCAGAGTAAGAATTTTAACAAAAATCGCAAAAATAATACTAATTTTGAGCTTGGAGATCACGTGTTCTTTCCAAATAATATTCTCTCCAACGCTGCACGAAATTTTAGTTCCAAATTGGCACCGCGATATAGAGCGCCAGCCATTATTCAAAAAAAATTGTCACCTATGGTAGTTGTTATTGGCGATATGCATGGCAAAGCTTTTGGTAAATATCATGTAAACGATTTGAAACTTGCCAAAAAAGGCCTTAGGTCGCGAACTACGTTGTTTTCCTTTACAGATCCATCACAGCCATGAACACCAGCAACAGCACCGACGCGACAATTTCTACCAATATCTCAGAGATTCCAATGGTACGTCTGATACCCTCTGACGATGACCAAAATGCATGCGCCAGCCCTGAGTTTGCCGAAGAACCATCCGGTTTAATCACGATTAACAAGGTAGACTTGGAAAGCCTGCTCAATATGCGACGTGTCTTGGCGAATCAAGTCTTTAACGCGAATACAGTCATCGCGACGCTACACCAAGAACTTCAACAGGTCAAGGCATCACCCGTATCAAGCACTGCAGAAGAAATTACCGCCAACTACAAACTCCTCGCAGAAGTAGTCAAAGAACGGCAAGAACTTTCTTCGCAAGTTGCCAATTTACAAAAAGAGGCCGATCAATATAAGAAGAAGGCTGCACAATTACAAAAAGATGTTGACTCATACGAAAAAGATTATAATGATCTAGAGGCAGATTATTATTATATGAAGAACCTTCACAAACGAACTCGTGATCTCTTCAAACATAAGATATCCGAGGTATTTAAAATGCAGAGTGAACTACGAGAAATTCGCATTCGTCCACGAGCTCCAGAAGGTTGCCTCAACTGCAACGAGACAGGACATGGGTTTAGAATCTGCAAAAAGCCCTACAACCAGCGGTTTTGCCAGAAGTGTTCCTGCCCAGACTTTAGCACTTCCGAATGTCCATGGCCTCATGTTCCTGAGGAGAAATTTGATGTCCCTGAAAACGCGAGATGCAAAGGATGTTGGAGACCGAAAAATCTTCCCCATACCAGTTGCGTTGAATGCCGCAAGAGACTCATCGCGAATGGCATCCTTCAGAGAAACGCCTCGATGCAGGAGTTGGAAAACCAACTCAAAGAAACTAAACTGTCCACCGCTTTAGTTCCCAAGGATGTATCCAAAGGTGCTGTCCGGAAGGGATCCCGAAATGCATTAATCACACTTGCAAACCGGGAAACGCTTCCACAACGCGTTCCTCTGGAATCCGCGATCGCTCTACCGGAAGCGTCAATTTCTGCTCACTCAGGGTTGCCAAGAATTGTGTCAAACATGTTATCACCTTGTGAATCAGATGAAGATAATTTGGCATTATGGCAAACTCTCTCCGAAGTCATAAAACTCAACATCGAGAAACAAGAGGACAAAGAAGAATAAAAAGTTTCTCTTCTCTTTCTGCGATTATTTTCGCGATAACCAAAAATAATAGTTTTCTTTTATAAAATACTCAGTAATTCAGTATCAAAAAAATTTAGCATTAAGTTGTATTTTCTCGATAGCGTTTAGTTTCTTTTAATTTAAGAAGATAAGCGATTAATAATATACATAAGAGAGAGAAAGCGACTGTGATACATTCGCCATTTACAAAGATTTACATTATATATTTCCCGAGTTCATATTTATAGACCCGAAATAAGGGTGTAATTATTTGCAATTCTTTAAAGTTAATTTTTATACTTTTACTTTGATAATTATTTCAATTTTTCATTTAAGTTATGACCAGATTAGACGCGACTATGATGACCAAATAGTGATCATATTTCGCCAGAACAGGGTGAACGCAAATGAACCCGGAGGTAACTGCGAAATAGGAGAGGGGAGTGTAACGAACCAAACATTATTTTTATATTCGTTTACTTAGTTTTTATTATTATCGAGTTTCCTCCGATTTCATTCTCCCTTATTATTAAAATATATTATATTATAATTTTCAATAATATTCAAATCAACGCGGGCTACCAACTAGGTGGCGCGCACGATTGTCGTCCAGCTGACGACGGACCGCATGGTCTGCGGCAGATTGATGCAAGCGTCGATATACGACACATCTTTTTCTCGCGACTAGATAATATTAATATACGAAATATATTGTAACCGCGATATATCTTTTCTTATTAAGAATTTTTTACTGTGAATAATAAACCAAAGTTTGTGTTATTCTACTGATTGGATTATATATTTAATTTGTGCTTCTAACCTTTTACACTTCGCAATTCAATCAATAGCGGATCGATAAACCAAGGATTGCTGCGTTCTACACCGGTAAGTTCATTCTTATTCTGGCTGTTCTCATCTGGTCTCGAATGGCGAATCTCATAGTTGCTTTGGATTACATTTCATCGAAGAAGAGTCAATTCCATTGTTGTAAGATCGCATTCTAATGTGCTACCCCTTCCGAGTCCTACCCACGTCACTTAAATTATTAAAATTTTAAAATCTCGCGAAAGGGTCGCTACATGCCATACACTGCATTGTTCATGAGTTTGAACAAATTCTTTTCAAACTCGTTTTTAGCATTAGTTCGCATCATCGTGTTATAATCAATGTATGGTTTAAGCCAAGTTGATTGCTTAAACTGTAAAACACGATGTATTTTTACAAGTTTAATACCATTTGATAAAACTTGTTTTAGCGTTCTATAGTGTATGACATATTTTTTTTTCGGCAGCAAAGTGGTTAACAATTTCTCTTGTTTCGACATAGGCGGCTTTGCTTTTTCTGCGCAAAATGGCATATCTTTATGAGTATCATGAATACTTTCAGGATACTCTAAATCCACTTCCAATATGTACCCAACAGAAGAATCGTCAGGTACATTAAAATCAAAAGTATCGTTGACATGATCAACCCATTTGAAACCGCCATATGGAAGCGCTTGTGCCATTGCCCAGCCATACAAATTATTGGCATCAATGTACATTATATAGCTGGTATCTTTATTTTCGTCAAATTTATCCATATAAGGATTATTCGCTTTGGCATAACGGTTACAACATTGACTAATGCCACCTCTGATACCTGACTCAACAAACATAACCATATCAATATCGGTTATAAGTTGCAATGCTATACTCGTATACTTGAGCATGGCATCCCAAGTTAAACCAGGGGTTGTATAATAGTGTGCAGGATCTAACCCATACGCTTTAACACATTGTTCTCGAAAATTTTCAAAAACATCTGCTAGTAATAGTACATCAGTTTTCATATATAAATGGACATAGTCATAGAGATTTTTGCAATCAAACTCAATCCATACGTTCTGTGCATGCTTATATTCATCATCAGAAATGCCCGCATCGTAAAGCGTACTATAAAATTTCTCTATCGGAGGTAGTTGCGTCTCATCAAGCTTGGTTTTTGAATCAAAATACTCGTAGGGGAATACACCCTTTCTAGTTAATAATTTAATTTTATCAGGATTACTCACAGTATTGGCAAAAACAGAATGTACAATTTTATATTCATCTAAATAGGATGCGAGTTTTTCAAGGGATGCTGCCATAAATCGGAATGAGTCAATAAATCTAAATTTAACCTCACTACCTTTAACATGTTTAATAAAGGAGATATATTTCTCCTTATTGATGGGAAGAAGACTTATATGACCTTCAAAACTTGTTGAAATTGCATGTATAATGAAATGTGCATCATAGCCACTTAAATTGTGAAATACTACGGGAATAGTCTGACAATCTTGATAATTTAAATTACATGACTCATGGGCAGCACCCCTATATTTACCAGTAAGGTGACAATGATCACGGACTTTCTTTACATTTGCTGGTATTTTCTGATGACATATGTGACACATTACGGCTCTATTAAAGTCACTGACTTGCTGAGGAGTTAAGGTATCCATTGGTAATGGTTTTTTAAATATTTTATCAATTTTTTCAGATAATTGCCTTAATTCCTCAGAAAACCATTTAGCAGGGTCGGATTCCTGCTTCGGACAAGCAACATACTTGCATTGAGATTCGTCATAGCTACATTTTATATAATAACCAATACTTAATAACTTATGACGCTGTAATATCTTAGTTTTACTTAAATTATCTACATCATCTTCTACAGGTAGAAGTAAACTCTCACAGTCAGCGTAAATAATAAATGGAACTTTTTCCCTATTCTTATAATTTTTAAAAGTAATCATACATTTATCAGGCTTTGGCAAAATTACTTTACATTCATTCAATTTTTTACAATTTTCAGTGTGTACATTTAATTTTTCATCTGAATGGAAATAGTGAAGACATCGGTCACATATATACTTTCTACCATTATTGTTAGACAATTGCTTTGATATGAGTCGTGAAAAATCTTTTATCCAAACGTAATGGAAATTCATAAAATTAATATCGTCACAATTTGCATTAACATCATTATTCATATTTTCATCAACATATGAATCTACTACATGTAGTAGATTTACATGCTTCCTCCTCTTTTCTACAGTTAAATGTAGCGGGTGAACTGAAAAATTACCATACTTTTTTGCTAGACCGTAGACATTTATAGATATATCATTAAGTTTTTCAAATTTCGCTATACTTTTTAATGCTACAGGAAATTCGATTCCTTTAAAATTTAACTCATTTTCAAAATTCTTATAAGTAGAAACACGGTCACTTCTAGTTAAATTTTGATGTAAAGCTGAAAGAACAGCCCATTTAAAACATTCATTGTCTCTATCATTATGTACATTAATACACGCATGTTTTATCTTGATTTTAACAGGTAAATCAATATATGAACTAGCACGTAAAGGATTATATTTATTTACATTAATTTCTAATTTACCTATAGATTGTAGATTCCAATTAGATCCTTTTGCATAAAACTCTTCAACATTTTTTAAAATTGGCTGCTTCATATTTACATCAAACCAGTCCTCCAATGGGGTTGTTAGGAAAATACTGCTAGATTTTGCTGTAAACGGTATTGGAATAACTACCTCTTCTTCATTTTGCACCCTTTTGAAATAAGCTGTCAGAACGCTGTAGACAATGAGGGAACCATTTTGTTTTAAAACATCGGTAATGTGCTCTTTAAACAAAATGGATGCATCATCTAAAAACCTACTTATATCTATATGTACAATATTTATTATAACATACGTGTACAATCTACATTCAAACGCATTCTCACACATAGCCCATCGTACACGCTTAGTAATATCTGAGTCTTGTAAGCCAGCGCCCTCTACCGCATGAGATTGAAACAATACTCTATATCTCACAAAGGATTGCAGAATGTTCTCACATCGACTTTTCTCATGCGTAAAATACATATATCTTAAAATATTTGTTAAAAGTAACTCATTTCGAGAACATTCCGCAACCCATCGTACTATAAATTCATTTTTATCTACGCCATTACGCAAACTTGAAAGCAATTCAAGAGCATCCTTAATGAGTGTAAATGATATGTCATACTCATCAAGAATGGTCTTATAATTTATACGTTTTACAGGTACTTGGTTATCGGTACACTTTCGTTTGCCTACCATTATAAAATCTTAAAAAATAAGAAAAGTGAAAAAATATAAAATCAGAACACTCTACTCGCTGTTAACTCTTGCTGCGACTAGGCTGCATGAGCTCACAGAATAGAATGAAAAATCTACTCGCAAAACTTCAATTTATATCCCGAAAGTCCAACTGTTGAGCAAGCGCAGTGGACGTTAAACCACCACTCTTATTTTACCACCACTCTTACTTTACCACCACTCTTATTTTACGCATGCGCAGTGGACATGGTATCACCACTCTTACTTTACGCATGCGCAGTGGACTTTTAACTAGCACTCTTATTATTATTTACCAACAGTCTGTAACTTACAAACAGTTGGTAATGCAGATTTATCTACAGTCGGTATTGGCTTGGTTGGTAACTTACCGACTGTAGGTAAATCTAGTAAACGATTAACCACTACCCTTATTCTATGGTCGCGCAGAGAATATGTATAAAAGAAAGATATACTTTTAATATACACTAGCGATGTATTCCTCGCTCGCTAACGCACGCTCGGTTAAAATTGTACTTATTGTTGTTTACTTAATGTAGTTTATGTATATTATATATATAATTTATGATTTAAATTAATATCTTATTAATATTGTATAAAATTTATCTTAATTTTGATCAGTTTCACTGAAGGATGAAATGACAATTGTTAAATATTAGATTTTTTTTATTATAATTATGACAACAATATTAATTATATTATATTATAATATATTTTTTTTATCTTAAATTATATTATATTATATTGATGTAAATTGTCCCACAAACACATGTAGATTTTGCAAATTTTTGAGAAAAATATTCGTAATAAATCGAAATACTTTTAAAAATATCGGTTTTTATTTTTATTATCTATAGTAAACCGTTATAAAGAGATTCTTCTTTGATTTTACATATATTACTAGTTCTCCGGAATAATGATGTATTTGAATTAAATAATGATGTTGTTAAACGAATGACAGGTGAACCTAGAGAATATTTAAGTATAGATTCATCTGAAGAAGATGAAAAGTGTGACACAATAACTAACTTAATACCAATTGAAGTATTAAATATTTTAACTCCAAATGGACTTCCTCCTCACAAATTAATATTAAAGATTGGTGCAATTGTGATACTTTTAAGGAATATTAATTTAGAAAGAGGTCTTTGTAATGGAACAAGATTAAAAGTTATTAAAATGGGTAGTTTTTCTATTCATGCACAAGTAATAACGGGAAATTATAAAAATGAGATTGTAATTTTGCCACGAATTACATTGTCACCGTCTAACGAAGAAATACCATTTCAAATGTCAAGAAAGCAATTTCCAATAAGGCTTGGATTTGCTTTAACAATCAACAAATCTCAAGGCCAATCTTTCCAAAAAGTAGGCATATACCTTCCTTCACATGTTTTTAGTCCGTGACAATTATATGTTGCATTATCAAGAGTAACTTCAAAATATAATCTTAAAGTATTATTATATAAAAATTCAAGTATTACACTTAGCGAAAAAGGAATAAAAAAAAGATAGGCAATGAAAAAGAAATTTATGTAAGAAACATTGTTTACCAAGAAATATTACAATAATATTTAACACATGTTTTAAAAAAATTCGACTACGAAGAAATCTACTAACTCTACTTTATAAATAAATTAATTCATTGAATTGGAAATGGCTGCGCTGAACTGTAACGGCAGCGCCATAAAAAAATATTATAATTATTATTATACTGATCATATCGCATAGAAAGGATTAAAAAACCATTTAAAAGAAAAAAATATATAAAATATAATCAAGTAATAACAAAAACTGTAAACTGGCTGCGCTGAGTAGTAACGGCTGCGTAACATAACGAAAATAATATAATAAATTATAATAATTTATTAATAACATCACTCATATGAAAATGAATTATAAAAAATTAATTTAAAAATTAATAAGAAATAAAACAACTTACGATAATTGCAGAATGGATGCGATGAATAAGTTAAAACATATTATAACTTTACATTATTGTAAATGAAAATTAAGTATTAAAAATAAAAAAAATCAATATTTTTCTAAGTCCCTAATTTTTTTGGACTTATAAAAAAAAATAGTTTGTAAGATTTTCTAACAGCATATATGCAAAGTATTTTGATTTATTTGAAAATAATTGAAAATAGATTTTTCAAGGACGGTGTCGAGGTCACAGGGTCGGTGACGTTTTTCGAAATTTGTTAACTTAATATAATAGAAGATGTTTCGTTTTAAATTAAGAAACGTTAAAATTATTAAGTTAAAAACATTTGATTTTAATGACACTTAAAATTAGACACAATTTTATAGGTTACTAACTAAAAATTGAAAAAACAACAATAAATAATAAAAAATAATAATAAAAAATTGAAAAAATCAAAAAATTCTTAAAAAATTGCAAAATAACCCTTTTTCGAGTTAAAATTGAAAAAAGATGTTACGTAAAAATAGTTTGTAAGATTTTCTAACAGCATATATGCAAAGTATTTTGATTTATTTGAAAATAATTGAAAATAGATTTTTCAAGGACGGTGTCGAGGTCACGGGGTCGGTGTCGTTTTTCGAAATTTGTTAACTTAATATAATAGAAGATGTTTCGTTTTAAATTAAGAAATGTTAAAATTATTAAGTTAAAAACATTTGATTTTAATGACACTTAAAATTAGACACAATATTAAAGGTTACTAACTAAAAATTAAAAAAACAACAATAAATAATAAAAAATAATAATAAAAAATTGAAAAAATCAAAAAATTCTAAAAAAATTGCAAAATAACCCTTTTTCGGGTTAAAATTGAAAAATAACCCTTTTTCGTGTTAAAATTGAAAAAAGATGTTACATAAAAAAAGTTTGTAAGATTTTCTAACAGCATATATGCAAAGTATATTGATTTATTTGAAAATAATTGAAAATAGATTTTTCAAGGACGGTGTCGAGGTCACGGGGTCGGTGTCGTTTTTCGAAATTTGTTAACTTAATATAATAGAAGATGTTTTGTTTTAAATTAAGAAACGTTAAAATTATTAAGTTAAAAACATTTGATTTTAATGACACTTAAAGTTAGACACAATATTATAGGTTACTAACTAAAAATTGAAAAAACAACAATAAATAATAAAAAATTGAAAAAATCAAAAAATTCTTAAAAAATTGCAAAATAACCCTTTTTCGGGTTAAAATTGAAAAAAGATGTTACATAAAAATAGTTTGTAAGATTTTCTAACAGCATATATGCAAAGTATTTTGATTTATTTGAAAATAATTGAAAATAGATTTTTCAAGGACGGTGTCGAGGTTACGGGGTCGGTGTCGTTTTTCGAAATTTGTT